AGCACCAACAACAGACCAACAGCTACAGAAAAATTCAGAAGAAAACCCATCAGGACCACTTGCTTTGTTTCTAGGCAGGGAGAAGAAAGCAGCTTTAATTTCCTCAGAGGAGAAAGGAGAATCAAGGCTGGACTGGTGAGTAGAAGGAGAGCTTGGTCTTAGCAGATTTGTGATGTCATCTTGAGCAAAAATTGGAGCTTCCTAAACCCCTCCAAGGAGCCTCTGGAAATAATCCACGCAGTGATTTTGGATGTCTAATTGGGACTTTATCCGCAGGCCATCATTATCCAAAAGGTAATGAATGTGGTTTATAGCTTGACGTGAGGCTGCCATCCTGTGAAAATTTTCTATCACCTTCACCCATCCAAGTAACACGAGACCGTTGGAGGAAAAAACTCTCTTCGGCTGTAGATAGGACCTGCCACTTTCTATGCATTTCCATCTCAAGCTCTACATTTAAAGTACTAAGGCAGTCCAATACCTTTCCCTGGGCCTCTAGCAAACTGTCATGAGCCTCCTTGATCCTTTTCTCAAGGTCTGAATAATTTGATCTGCTGAAATCTCTGATGTCTTTCTTTAATGCCTTTAGTTTTTGGGAGACTCTGAACATAGCAGATCCTGTAACATTTAGGGAGAACCACTTGAAACCAATAAGAGGAAGAAAGTCTTGGTTCTTCAACAGGAAGTTATAGAAACGGAAAGGCTTTTTCATTCTGGGAGCTGTAGTAGCAAAAGTGATCCCACAACAAGCATGGTCAGAAAAGTCTGGCTCTCCAAATAGTCCCAAGGAAGAGGGGAAGACAGCAAACCAGTTGTCATTCACCAAAATGCGATCAAGCTTTTTTGCAATGGGAGAACTTGTTCTTTTATTCCACCATGTATAAGAGCTGCCCCGGAAGTTAAGATCAACCAGTGAAGCATTTAGGATAGTCTCCCTGAAGATTCTAGTAGGGCGATCAACATTAAGACTAACAGCTGCAGAGTGTTCATTAGGGTATAGAACCTGGTTAAAATCGCCTAAGACAGCCCATCCCTTTCCCAGGATCCTACTATCCATTGATAAAGTCACCAAATCAGCCCACAAAGTTCTCCGAACAGCTTCATCATTTGAAGCATAAACAAAAGAGACCAAAAAATCTCAGAATGATCAGGAACCTGCACTTCACAAGTTATCATCTGCAGAGACTTTGATATTATCACAAGCTTTACCGTAGGGTGCCATAAGACTCATATCTTGCCCAAATCTGAAAATTCATAGTTATTGTCATAGGAACAACCTGGCAACATGGTATTGAGAAACTTCTGCTGCTTAGGCTGCTTGACATGAGTCTCCACGAGACTACCAAAAAGAGGTTGGTTGCACCTAAGCCATTTCTTAAAACTGCGACGGTGTGAGGAAGTATTGAATCAGCGGACGTTCCAACAAAAGCTGTCTATACACATATAGACTAATGAGATTTGGGGCCTTTTGCCCCTCGCACTTCGTTGTTGTCGCTGTGACAATACTTCCGTGAATTGAACTTCATCTTCCAAATCAATGTCAGTATCAGATTGAGAAGTAGGGATGTCGGACGAGTCTTCATCTTCCTCAGACACAGACACCTCTTCTTTCTCTTGGATTTCTTTACCTTTGCCTTTTGGGTCAAGAGCTGCTGCCTTTCTCAGGGGAACAGAGACAGACTTTCTAGAACGTGCCACAGTACCAACTAAGAGAAGCCCTGCAGGAGAGACAGTAGCATTCTTATTCAAAGGTCTGTCAGCTAGAGCTCTTCTACCTGAGCCAACAGTCTCCCAATCGCCATCCTTGACTGCCGGCTTTGGCGTTTTGGAGCAACGACGCCTTTGAGTTTTTTTTCCAGGCTGAGCTTTTCCTCTAGGGCACTCCTCAGCTGTGTGAAGAGTAGAGTTGCAGCCTTTGTAGAGTATCAGAGCAGCCCTGCATCTCCGCAGGTTATGCCCGACTTCCTTACAGTGAGCGCAGACAGGAGGCATCCAGAGACTAGAGACCTCCACCCTTCTGATTTCACCGGATTGAAACTGAACATTTACAGCCTCGGGAAGCGGCTTCCTTGGATCGATGATTGTGAATACCTTTGCGACTTCTAGGTTAGAAGAAATTTCGGATGGCCAACTAGACTAGCAATGTGTTCCAGGCCATCTTCGTTAAAGAACTGGAAAGGGACGTTACAGAGCTCCAACCAAATCGGGGCAGAGGTGAGCTCCGGCTTGATAGGAAGGAAGCCAAGTTCCTATTTGGCGACAAACATAGTTTGTCCATCGATCAGCCATAGACGCTGGTTGAGCACACGATTACGGGTTTGCACATTTGGGATGTGAAACAAGAATGCGTTTCCCTCTATCTTTGAAACCGAGATGTTGCGGAACTGCTTACTCCAAATCCCATTGACGATGGTATGGATGGTGCCTTGCGCTGGTGGATCAGAGTAAAATTGGCCCAAGATAAACGAATCTCATGACTTTTTATGCTTTTCGATAATAGAATTTGGTATCTTAACGCAGACTTCACCGGAGGGTAGAGTAAAGGCGGTGCCTTTCATCTCTAGCTTTTTTGAGGTTCCTTTGAAGATATCCAGCCATCTAACTTCCTCAGGAGCAGGCTTGGTAACAGAGGGTTCTAGGTTTGCTGCATCGACTATGACAGGAGTAACTTGCGCAGTTTCGCTGGAAGGATTCAGGTCAAGAGACGGAATCGCAGCAGTAACGTTAGAAGATTCGGATGGAGCTAAAGCAGGTACACTAGTAGCCACTTTCTGCACATCGATTTGGCCTAGAGAGGCGTGGTCAGCTGTAGATCTGGGAGCTACAGGACATATAATGGCCGAGCCGGTCGGGGGAACGATGACTTGGGCATTCAGGGTCTGATTTGAACTAGCGGGCACCAGAGAAGATGGGATCTGAGCCGCAGGAGGCGCGGCGGAGGAGCTAGAAGGAGAGGAGGAAGGAGAAGAGGCTCCCACCGGAGAGCCATTCTTGAGATGCTTTTGCTTCCCCATGAGGAGGGGAGGGCCTACCCAGTCGGGCGAGAGGAGGAGCCGGAGCCGTTGAAGACGCCGGAGGTGAGCTGCGAAAGAAACCACTTTTCGCCCCTTTGAGAGAGAAGTGTACAGTCACCTTCTACTTGTTAATAAAACTTTATAAGTACGAGTTTGTCAAAGGTTCTGTCCCTAGATAAAACCCTATGATCATCAACCCCTAACAATTGGATGATCGACATCAAGTGTACCGGACATTGGTTGCTACCAATGCATATCCTATCTCCGTTGCTTACAAATACTCCACGAAACTGTTGGTTCAGAAACATACAAAATCGGTGGACAAAACATGATGCCCTCGACCGACGTATGGGTCTATAATAAGCTTATTTGCAAATAGCGCAAAGCCCCTAGTATGATGGTTGCTCGTAAGAATGTCGTTACGTGCGCCCTCGATGGGAAATTATATGTAATGAGAGGATGCGAAGAGGATGAATCTACGCATTGGGCTGAGCTTTTCGACCAAAGACTCAAACTTGGGAAGCTTACCGGATCCTGGAGTTGAGCTCCGGTACTCTTCAGTTAAAAATCTCCAAAGGAAGCAATGAAAAGTGTACGTGAGGAGCAATAAGAAGAACTTTGTTTACCTTACAAAAGAGTGTAGGTAGGAAGTTGCCGAGGCAAACTTGGGTGAGAGTACGTGTGAGATAGTGTGCTACTGTTATTGTAATTGTGAAGAGTAAAGATTGGTCAAAGGTTTGAGTGGACTTTACGAGTATTGTAAAACTGATTCTTAAATAGGTAATTATGGTGGAAAACTCGTCGTCTTTTGGACCGTGTGGATTCTCGTATTACTGCAACCAATAAAATTTGGTGTGCTGTTATTTCGCTTGAAAAGTACCGTGATGGTGAAATTGGGGGTTACATTGAATGGCTTGATGATGTTCTTATAGCCCCTAGGTCGTATACATTCTTGCATTGTATCGAATCATTGCAATGATCAACAATGACCTTTTTACAACATCTTGTTTAATCAGTCTTAATCAAAAGTATATATATATTGATAAAATTTTTTTTTTTTCCGGTTATGTTCTTTATTCATTACTAAATTTTATTTTTTATAAGCAAAACAAGCTAGTAATTCGTTATTACTTCATCGGGTACCGTTTGCTTCATTTCTTTCTTCTCTTGCTTTTATGTTTTTACTTTTTTCAATCATGTAGCTAATTCTTTTTTATTTTGTCAACAATTTTATTAGATTATCTTATACTGTTTATATTCTTTGCATAGAAAAAAATGAGCTAGTGAATGAAACATGAATGACGCTTAAGTAACTCTCACATAAACAAGTGTTAACATGGCATAGTACTCTATAGACCATTAATAATTTATATTGACATAAAATCTGAATCAAACATAATTAGTAGCTCTCACATAAATAAATAGATGGTCCATGACATATCCCTCTCTAAAATATATATACAACTTCGTAGCGAGCACATGTACCTTAGTGGATAAAGTGTCTGTTTCCTAAGCATAAAGTCGGCGCTTTTCTGTTTGTCTTTACTGTTTTTAGAAAATAGTATATACAACTTCTATTGACATGTTCATATGTAGTATATATGTATCAAGCTCAAGTGGCTCTCAGCATCAAGTTAGTTTATGTAAGCACTTGTGGAGCTATCCACTGATCTTCTAAAAGATCAACACAAATTCACATTTATTGGCATAAATCAAAACACAAATGAATTCATTTATAAAAAAATAAAGAAAAGAAAAGGTTTAATTTATGCGGAAAAATAGTGTGGTTTAGGTTCAATTTGTACTAATTGGCATAAATCAAATAAAATTACACAGGCAATTATTTGTTTGTAGGAAAAAACAAAAAAAAAAGTTTAGGAGGAAAAAAAAAACAGTGACGTTTATTGACGGCCCATGAAGCCCAATATGCAGCAATCCTATAAATCTCACTTTATCGCACAAGAGAGGGAGAGAGAGAGACCAAGATTCTTTATTCTTTCTCAGTTTTTTCCCGCAAATTTTCTTCAGCAGAAGAAAAAATGGAACGTGAGGGTTTTCCAAATTCATCATCTTCAACTACTCAGGAGAATCACGAAAAAAGGATCATCGGAGAGTTCGTCTCCGTCACTATCAACGACGGTAAACAATACGAAGGCATTATCTGCCATATTAATCTTCAAGATTCGACGTTAGGTCTCCAAAACGGTAACCATTCGATTCCAAACCTTCTCCAAGATCCTAATTTACTGTTTCTGATTTTCTTCTTTTCAAGTTCTGCATCTGTTTCTTTGCTTTTTGTTAGAATCTTTTCGTGAAACTACGTTTCATAGATACATCCAGATCTCAGAAAGTTTGTTATATGAGATTATAAAACCATCACATGCGATAGATAAAGGCCTCGAATTTATATGTATGCAGTTGTTAGATGCTATGGAAGAGAGGAGAAGAATGATAATGAGCAACGAGTAATCCATGTTCTTAAAGAAGCTTACAGTTACATGCTTTTTAGCGGAAGTGACATTAAGGTTAGTTTCTTTAAGTTTTTGGGTTCAAGATTCCTCAACTATTCTTCTTCCTACTTAGTTGCTTGCTGCACAAGATACCTTTTCTTGAAGCTTAAACTGGTCTATTTTAATTGCACCAATGCAAATAAAGAAGCACGCATTAACTGTGTTAGATTTCGAGGTTAGTTAGTTAGTTTAGGGTTTAAGGGTCGTTAAATATTCATCATCAGACTTGGTTGCTTGCTATATAAGATCTTTTTTGGAAAGCTATATATATCGTATTCCAGTCTGTGACATTAGTTTGTGTGTTTAGATTAGGTTTAAGATTAATTACATATCATCCTACTTACTTGTTGCAGAAGATACTATTTGCTATCAAATAACTACTATATTTTCTTATGTTCGTATATATTTATGTTTCCAGTTACTCGAAGTTCTCTCTCTGCCAGCACCACCAAAGCATAAATCTGTCATAGGTCATCTCGTTAGTATAATAACTACCGGGGACGTGAGGTGTGAGGGCCTAATCACCCACGTCAACTTTCGTGATTCTATGATATTCATGAAGAATGGTTAGAACATTTTTTATCCTGATTTCTATATATTCTACTAATAAATGTATGTATATATATCTAGATGACTATATTATATTATTGATTCATTTTAATTTACAGGTATGTGTTATGGTACTGAGGGGAGGACGAAGAGAAGACGTTCAATAGTAGCTTGCAAACAATTGGCTGGTCCAATCCACTTCAAATTCAGAGACATTAAAGTACGTTCAGCAATACTTTCCCCTGCATACATATTCTATTAGTTTGTGTAACTATATAATTTACGATCCATTGTCAATTTACAGGATCTCGAAATCACCTTTCTTCCGCCACATCTACATGAAGAAACTGCTAGTGAGTCTGATGACTTTCCTCCGTTAAGTAGAACACACCTTGCTCATCGCCCAGGTGGCGTCTGATAGTCTCATGCCAGTATCCCACAGCTCCTTGATTTGTGTAGAATAAAACATATGAAACTAATTATCAATGGATTTGTGCCTATATATAGTTGATTCGAATTATTTAACAATTACATATTTGTCTTAACTCTCACGTCTGATTTTAGCAATTCGGTCTGTAGGAATTTAAGCACCTCTTCTCATAACATATTTATTTTATTTTATTTCTTTGTTAATGAATATTATGATTTTTTTTGTAGATATTCATTTTTTTGTTAATGAATATGTTCTCGTAACATAAGTGCTTCTCATATGTTAATATATAGTGTGGTATATAGGCAGAAACAAGAAATCAAAATAGTTTTTAAAAATGTTTGTTGTTGCATGTGTTGGTTTTGATAGTTAACTGGATTTTCAGTAAGCAATATTTACGTAAACTTTCTTTACAAAGACTTTCTTTTTTGTAACATACATCGTCACAAATTTTGGTTTGATATATATACAGCGCATTGGCACTCTATCCTTGGTCTTCTAGCCTCAAGTTTTTTGGATTGGGACTAAAGAAAATTTCTACGCCCGTCAGATTGGAAAATTAAATGGTTTAGTCCGGTTTTGACTGGGTACGATTTCATATTATAATTAAATAAAGGGATTGGTTGTATATTTTCGCGACACTTCTCGAAGTAGGAAACTAACTTCTATATGTATCGGGATTTCTATTTACAGTAAAACCTCTATAAATTAATAATATTGGAACTAAATTTTTTTTATTAATTTAAACAGGTATTAATTTATCGATAAATTAATAATTCTTAATTTATAGAGATATTTTCCTAATTTTGTAATTTTTTTAAAAAATTTTATCTAAAAATATATATTTTTCTTTATAAGCAATATCTTTTTAAAACCAATTGCAATTAGATTATTAAATTTAAAAAACAACACAAACTCTTTTCGAATAATTGAGTCATATTTCATTAATTTTTTATATATATAATATTTTAAATATATATCATACTAATTCATATATGACATATATAAATTTATATCACATATATATAGATTAATTTAAATATACATATATATGTATATATATATATTGATAAGATTGTATAATTATTAATTTATAATATAGATGAGACCATATGTTTACAAGTTCAAAAAAATTATTATCTTATTAATTTATCGATTTATGTTATATTGTACACTGGTCCCAACTCCGGACCGAAAGAATTTATTAATTATGTTATTAATTTATAAAGTATTAATTTATAGAGGTTTTACTATATATATATATATATATATATGATATTAGATATGGATCCGGGCGATACCCGGATTTTTTTTCTTGATTAAGATATTAACAAATTTGTATTTCTATATTATAATTAGTAGTTATGTTACATGTAGAGTTAAAATAATCTAATAGTGTGTTATATTTTGTTATTATATTCATAAATATGTAATATAATAATATATTATGATAAAGTGTGTTACATCTTTATTTTGTTAATATCAATAAAATATAAATTTTATTTCTTTATGTGTAACATTTAATTAATACTGAGACAAAACTGTAGCCACAAAACTTTGCTTTATTAAGTTAGCAAACTATATCCAATATTTTGTTATTATATTCATAAATATACATGATATATTATGAAAAGTGTGTTACACTTTTATTTCCTTGATGTCAATGGAAAATAATTTTCATTTCTTTATGTGAACAATTAATAAATATTAATGTGAGATAAAACTGTGTACTTACAAAACTTTTTTCTTAAATTAGCAAACTATACAATGGCCAATATTTTGTTATTATATTCATAAATATACATGATATATTATGAAAAAGTGTGTTACACCTTTATTTCTTTGATATCAATGAAAAATAAAATTTCTTTCTTTCTGTGAAACAATTAATAAATATTAATGTGAGACAAAACTGTAGTTACAAAACTTTGTTTTATCAAATTAGCAAACTATACAATGGTCACTAACATAAAGCCTTACAAACATAAAAGGTTTACGAAAACTGTTTATAGCACAAATAGAACCCATATACTTTTTTTTTTTTACATTTAAGAACCCATATATTTATTTAACATCTAAGAAAATTAGTTTAATTTTTTAATATTCTTTTCTGTCTGCTATTTCATTAAAATTATTTTATATAGGATATGTATGTATATTTTCTGTTTTTATTTAATAGATACATATATTCCTTATAATTATCTTCTATACATTTTTTAAATTTTTTTAGTTTCTTTATAATGATCTTTTTTACATTTTATTTATTTTTTAAATTGATAAATTCTTACAATTATCTTTTTATAGTTTTAAAATTAATATAAAAAAATTGTTTTACACGTGTCAAAATCTAAGCCCGATCCATAGCCAATCCCTACTACGCGGGGTAACGCGACTTAGTGGAGTCGAACTCTGGTGGAGAAGGCGGAGTCAAGTGGACTTAACCACTTGACTAAAAGCACATCCTTTTAATAACTCTACTTTATCTAATAAGATATGAGATATTTTTGGCTATAAATATACACCATGCATACAAAATATAAGATTTTATCGGTGTTAATTTAAGAAAACAAAAGGCAACAAAAAACCCTAAACCCATACTTGAGCTTCAATTCTAACATGGAACAACAACCAAACGAGTCAAACCCTCCTCGTCTGCCTCCGCCACCATCTCCGTTGTTGTTTTCTTCACTACCAGATGACATTATTTTGAATATCTTGGCTCGCATATCCACTTCGTACTACCCAACGCTCTCTCTTGTCTCCAAGAGCTTCCGCTGGCTCATCCTCTCTGAGGAGCTCGACATGGAACGTTCCTACCTTGGAACCCGAAAACAATGTGTTTACGTCTGCTTTCAATCTCCCAGCCATCCTTTTGATCGTAGATGGTTCAGTCTCTGGATAAAACCATGTGATCATCAACCCCTAACCCATTGGACGATCGACATCAAGTGTACCGGACACTGGTTGCTACCGATGCCCTCTTCATACTCTCGTCGCTTACAAACACTCCACGAAACTGTTGGATCAAAAACATACGAAATCGGTGGACAAAACACGCTGCCCTCAACCGACGTGTGGGTCTATGATAAGCTTATTGGCAAACGGTGCAAAGGCCCTAGCATGATGGTGGCTCGTAAGAATGCCCTTACATGCGCACTTGATGGGAAACTATATGTAATGGGAGGATGTGAAGCAGATGATACCACGCATTGGGCTGAGGTTTTCGACCCAAAGACTCAAACTTGGGAAGCTTTACCGGATCCTGGTGTTGAGCTCCGGTCCTCTTCAGTTAAAAAGCTCCAAACGAAGCAAGGAAAAGTTTACGTGAGGAGCAATGTGAAGAATTTTGTTTACCTTACAAAAGAAAGTAGGTGGGAAGTTGCTGAGGGAAACTTAGGTGACCGTGAGAGTATGTGTGAGATAGAGAATGTATGCTACTCTTATGCTAATAAAAAATGTTGGTGGTATGACACAAAATGTGAAGGGTGGAGATCGGTCAAAGGTTTGGATCGACTTGAGTGGCATTATAAAACTAATACTGAAATAGGTACTGATGGTGGAAAACTCGTCGTCTTTTGGGACCGTGTGGGTTCTCGTATTACTGCAACCAAAGAAATTTGGTGTGCTATGATTTCGCTTAAAAAGGGACATGATGGTGAAGTTTGGGGTCACGTTGAATGGCTTGATGCTGTGCTTATAGCCCCTCGGTCGTATACATTCTTGCATTGTATGGAATCATTGCAATGATCAACAATGTGCTTTTGCTTTGATCTTTTTTTTATGCTGATCTTTTTTCAATTTCTCCTTTCACGGCACAAAGTATAGTCTTATTATTGATTGATACTTTTTATGTTTTTCGGTCATGTTTTTTATTCATTATTAACATTCTTTTTTCTTTATCAGCATAACCAGTAAATGAAATATGAATGAAAATTAACTCTCAAATAAATAGGTGTTACCGTGACATGCCCTTCTATAGAGTATATCATTTATGTTGACATGAAGTATGAATCAGGCTTAAGTAGCTCTCGTCAGCAACTTTTATAAGCACTTGGAGCCATCCATTAAGCCACTAGAAGACCAACAAGTACAAATTTAAGCCTCGGCTTTATTGATGAGTTGGCACATGATTGATAAGCTATTGAAAAGAGAGTAATAAAGAGAGATCATGAAATTTCAAGAAAATCCTTGATGATGGTTCACACAGAAGAAAAACACACAGGCTTATTATTAGTACATCTTCCACAGCAAATAAGATGAACACAACAAATAATATGGTTATAATAAAAGTCACAAAATGGTAACAACTTATGAACATTTTTTGTAACCTTAGAAAATATTTTGCATGAAATGTAATCGAACCAAAACCAAAGTATCAGTCATCTTAATTGAGCCAGTTAACCGGAACTTAATGCATAAAACCGGTTTAATCCAGATTCTCAGTGGTTTACACATGAGGCTAAGTAGTTCTGACTAGATTGTTACGACTCTAATAAACTATATACAAATGCAGGGACTGAAAATGACACACTTTTTCCTTGCAATTGTCTTGAACCTATATTGGAGGTAGCTTGTCCTTTCCTTCAAAGTAGCCCGAGAACCGAGCTTTCAGCTGCAAAAGATTCAACATTTTGAGGACGATTAGAAACGAAGAATATATTGGTTTAAGATTCTGAAAATTGAATAAGTTATAATACCTTTTCGACTCTGTCAGTTGTGCCTGAGAAATCTTGTGTTTGTTTTTTGAGCAGGCTGATTCGGGCTTCCTTCTGGCGATTCTGTTCTTCAGCCTGGAAAGTGGATAAACACAAGAAGAAATTGTTAAAATGGCAACACAAGCAAAGAATTAAGTTTCTTGTGCCTCCTTTTTGAGCTTACTTACCCTTTGGAGCAAACCTGTTAACTTTTGTATCTCGTTCTTCTTCGCTGTTGTAAGATCATTTGCTATTGCCATAACATCCGTCCTGAGATGGAGTCATTGTGACAAGTAATATCAGAATTCCAAAATATGTGGACTTACAATTGAGGCCAATGCCATAAATGCATGAGACCTACTTATCTGAAAATAAAGGAGTAAACAAAATGGGATTAAAGTGGCATGCATGAGACCTACTTATCTGAAAATAAGGGATCCAAACTCTGTTCTTGGACAAGCTGCTCAACTGTATCAAGAATTGGTCCAACCTGCAAAGGGAAAATGTTTTCACTTCAAAGGACTTCGAAAAATCCCTCACTTCACAAGTGTGATCACAAAGAGGAACCTCTGAAGACATTAACTATTGTAACAAGCAAATAAGAAGTCTGTCAACAGTACCTGAGCTTCGTGACATTGTTCATCAAACTCATCCTGTAACGATGGTGAAAACGTAAATAAGAGTTTCCACACCATGAATAACAAAATCACAGAAATTTTACGTTTAAAATTAAGATAATCAGAGCCAAGAGTTACCTCTATTGTCTGATGCAAATTCACAACAACCTAGAAACATGTCAGAGAAAGACAAGATACATGAGAAAGGCTTCTCCTTGATTTATGTAACATCGTAACCAAATGGATCAACATTGTTTCTCTAGAGAATAATAAAGAGAGATACCTACCTGAGTATAAAACTGAAAAAGCACTTCTTGCTCAGCTCCACTGAATTTCGAGAAAATGTCAAGAAAATCCTAGATAATGGTTCACATAAAGGGTCATTAGTTATACTACACACAGACGAAACATAAAAGCTCTGTGATATTACAAAATCAAATTAAAATTAAAAAAAAAAAAAAAAGAGAAAATCAGAACTCAATTCAGTTCTAATCGACAAATGTCTTCAGTGTTGTAACTAAGGATACAATTATCGAGAACCCTAAAACTTCAATTACTGAACAATTGTCCTAAATCAGACAGAACAAAACCCAAACAACGATAAAACCAAACAATGGAAAATGATTATGACAATGAAGCATAATTACCTGTTTGGAGCAAGCAGTGAGAAGACATCGAAGACTGGATTTGAATGATTTCTTGAGATTCGTTCGTCTAGAACCCGGAATATCCGTTTCATGACCCGGTTTCTCCATCTAACCCGAAATGATAATTTTGTTTCTTTCCTTCTTCTTTAAAAATTCCGGAAGCTTACTAACTTAAGAAAAATCTATAAGTTGGCAGAGATTTAGAACGAGAAAATTGCCCAATCGAAACATTTACGGCCCATATGGGCCCATTAAAAATCCATAAGGTTTAGGTTCAGACAAGAAGGAAATCAAAGGCCCATTATTACTTTTCCTTTTTTTCTTTTGCGGCAAATAACTTTTATCTTTCCTATAAAATACAAGCTTAGACCGAATTTTTAAGGCAATATTTCAAATCGAGCAATACTGCGAAACCAGAGAGAGCGAGAGAGATCAAAAAAAAAAAAAAAACCCTAATCGGCTTAATCATCTCTTCTTCGTCAATCTTCCTATTAGTTTCTTCGGTGAAGCATAATCATGGAAACTGTAAGTTCTCATCAGTATCTTTCTCCATGGTCACCAGCTTCAACTCCTCCACAAATTCCCGTCGAAGCGTACATAGGAAGTTTCGTCACTATGATTTCTAACACCGATCTACGTTACGAAGGCATTATATGTTTTCTCAATATTCAAGATTCGACTCTAGGTCTTCAAAACGGTACTGATTTCGATTCCAAAACCTACAAGAAACTTTTGATTTGTTCTTTTCTTGTTGTGCAAGCTTTTCTAACTACGTTTTTGTTTGTGCAGTGATATGTTATGGTACAGAAGGAAGGAACACTAACGGATTTCAAGTTCCTCCGTATAATAAAGTTTACGATTACATTCTTTTCAACGGAAATGACTTTAAGGTTAGTTAAATTATGTGTGTTTTTATTTACGTATAATAATCACGAACCACCATTAGAGATTTGATTATTCATCTGTTGATTTTTTTTTTCCAGGAGATAATAGTTAAGCCTCCTACTTGTGGTTATTGTTTAGCAATAGGATCTACATGTAGTAAAGCTTGTCTTGCCACAAAACCACCACTCCCTATAATTGTCTCACCAAACAATCGATCCGGTGCTAAGATACTCCAACAACTTCCATTGATCTCCAATGAAAATCTCATCATCCCTCAAGCTACAACAGAGTCTAATGCTTTCTCAGTTAATGGATCAGTCAATGATAGATTACACATTGCTTCTCAACAACGGTATCCTGGTTCATACTTCTATGACCCTTATGTTTACCAGTCTATGCCTTATGATGGACTTAATCAAGCTCCTATAAACGCTTCTTCGTTGTCGAATTTGACTGAATCATCTGCCTCCGAGATGACGTCTGCTGCAAGTAAAAGTTTATTTACCACGTTTCTGCCTGCGCCAATCTCGCAGGTAATCATATACATTCTTTATTTTTCTGATGTTTGTTTTGTATCCCTTAAGCTCCATCCCATAACTATTTTACTTGTCTTTTGGTTGTAGAATTCTGGAGGATGTGATTTTGAAGCAATGACTAAGAACTGTATTCAGTACAGCATATGGGGTCTTTCCATATACAAGGAAGTAGAGAAAATATGGGGTCCTTCCAAAAACAAGGAAGAAGAGATCATATGGGGTTTTTTCAAAAACAAGGAAGAACAGAACATATGGGGTCCTTTGAAAAACAAGGAAGAACAGAACATATGGGGTCCTTTGAAAAACAAGGAAGAAGAGAGTGCAAAGGTGATCTAACATCTCTTAGCTTAGTTTAATAGAGATCCGATGCTTTGAAGTCAGATGTTCAAGTTCTTGAATGTTAAATATTTTGGTATTAATTGTGTTTTTTTTTTTTTTTTTTTTTTTGCAGCAACATTGATGGATCTTCTTACATGATCTCACGCAATCCGTTTGAGCCTATCGGGAGACCTTGTGAATCTCTGTTTTTGCGGTGTAAACATTCGTTTTGAGTCGATATCTTTTGTAGCACATATCATTGACAAGTTCCATGTGTCTTTTGGTGTCGTGAACTTACCTTTTCACTTGGGACTTTTGAGAGAATGTTGTTTCTTTCTTCTTCTTTTTTTCTTGTAGCAAACACTAATAAGTTAATTCTTCCAAAATATGTACAGTCTTTACTGTTCTCCTAGTTCCATATTTTGTTTTTCTCTATTCCCTTTGAGTTTTGACTTGAATAGGTCAACTATGGTTGACTTTGTAAGTCTTGGGTGGGTGCATCTCCCACACGTGTGAAATCTTCTTTTCATTATATCCATGTTGTTATAAGTTATAATCTTATACTAGTCAGAGTTATGTAGACCATTAGTTGTGGCTTGTGGGGGTTATTATAATTTGGGAACGAATCTTCTTCCTAGTTGCCAGTCATAGATTGAGATAAAGAAGAAAATAGCATAATGCATAATATACACAAGTTGAAACTATCACGACACTCTTTTAATTGGTATCCTATGTTTAAGTGGTTCATGGGTGTTATGTCCATTCAATAAGTGCATTAACCAATTATATACAACTTTGTAAATAATAACATATCCGATATTTCCTTTTTTACTTTTCGTATTATATTTATTTTATATTCTGCTTATATTAGTGGAAGACACTTCTTCCACCAAGTGAATGACAGTTTCTGACTTGTTCTTTTGGTGCTCATCATGGTTTTGTTCTTCTTCCATTGATCTTCTCTGTTCTTGGTTTTGGTCTTTGATTACGACTTGAACAAGTTGTTGTTGTTGTTTCTTTAATTTAATCCTGGTGGCTGATATGGTCAAAGCTCCAAGTCCAAGGATGGCTAAGCAGCCTGAAGCTGCAAAGACACCGTCTTTGACCAGGTAACAATCTTCATCGAGCCATCCTTCTCCATAAGCTTGAGCTCGGCTCATGCTTATTGCAGTACTCAATATCAAAATCACTACCACAAAATTGGACCTGACACATAGGTAAGGTAAAGAAGGAAGAGATAATTGATCAAATTATGAATCTAATCTCAAGAGATATTTTCTTTCTTATAACTCGGACGATACATAGCCTGATATGGTTAGAATCTTAGGGATGGGAAACAAAACTCTCAACCTTAAAATCGAACCAAACCAAAACAAAATGATTTAATCGAAACAATACCGAAGTTTTTTCATAATTTGATTGGTTTTCTAATTTTTTTTAATTTTTTTTTTTGGTTTTATTATTTTAAAATCCAGAAGAAAAAAAAAACAAATTTGAAACCAATTTTTGTGTCACCTAACCAATCAGTACAAATTTTGTTTCGATCAATGTTATATTTTATTCATATGAATATAAATATAATATTAATTAACTCCTTATTTATATTTCAAATTATTATTTAACTACAGCCAAACGGCCCAAACCTAGTCTAAAACAAAAATTAACAACCAAACCGAAATACAAATGGTTTTTTTAAAAAGTTTAATAAAACCGGAAAAACCAAACCGTAAACCAAATTACTCGCTCATAGTCTAAAATTCAGTAGGATATAACGGTAGGTGTGGTTCGGGCCTTCCTTCGGGGATTATTGGTTAGACAATTAGATGAAAACAAAAAAAAACAGAGAAGAGGGCAAAATATTTCACCAGGAAAGGAGCAATAGAACAGTTGGTAAAGTAAGATCAGTAATCTTGTAACCATCTTCTCTTTTAGTTCTTGTCCGGTGATTTCGGAACACAACTACGTTTCCAACGATCTGAGCAAGGCAGAAGCAAAACACAGCGGCTGATCCAAGCCCAAACGCATGGCTTTCGGGTACATAGCAGTTCCTCTCCGTGTCCCATCGAATATCTTCTTTCTAACCACATAATTAAAGTTGGTTCGATTTTTTCCATTAATAAACACAAAAAGAGATTTTGATGGATATTACGCCGTACCTTTGTTCTCTTGAACTCGGCTGTGAAACATGTGATGAAGGAAACGAGACCAAGAGATAACACGACTGAGTTGAGAAAAAGGTTGTGCATAGTTTCTAATGATTTTGTACCTTAATGGTCAAAATCAATGGGACGCACTTACATATATGTAATTTTACAACATAAATGCTAGTATACCTTAGATTATTTGAGTCAATTTCTCAGGCGAATTAATTTTCTTTAAAAAGTAAGGCTTAGAAACGTCTTTTACCAAACTACATAAGAAATTAAGAATGGAAAAAAGAGAGAGAGTAAAATATTCTTAATTATATCAAATGATTTTTTTCCAAAACCATTTTAAAGAATATAGATGATGGCGTATACAAAAAAAAAATCTAAAATTTTTGGATATGTGAGGCAACTTCTCAATTCTCATAAAAATCTTCTTTGTCAACTGATGAATATGGACATAAAAAGAGAAGAGAATATTATTACATATTAAATAAGTATTTTTTCCAAAATCATTATAAGGAAATAGATGATTGTGTTTACTAAAGGCGAGGTCAACGTATATTATTTGGCTTACATACAGTAGTGGCCTTATTAAAAAGGAAAAAAACATAAATAATGGCATGGATTATAAGTTGAGTAAGCCTTCCTGAGTTATAGACTTTGAAACTTTTGGTATATTTTTTGTTTTGTTTTAGAACTAAAATCTATTGCCTACTAGGCAAGAAATAGTATCCATTTTGCTATTTATCTCTTATTTGATTTATCAATTTACTAGTAGTAATAAATTTACAAATAAAAGAAAATGAAATTTATTGTCAATTGGTACTATATGACAAAGCAATTCTCAATAGAAGTTTATCAATTGTTATAAAAGAAACATTTCATTTAAAAATAAAATAGAAAATAAAACTAAATTCTATTTAGAACAGATGGTACCTCATTTCTTCCTCTTAAGAACATCAACAACATTAAGTCCAATACAATAAGCAATAGACTGAACGGTGACCATCGGATTAACCCCTAAAGCCGTCGGAAAAACACTTGTGTCCGCCACAAATAACCCTTCGACCTCCCAAGTCTCTCCTGTTGGCCTCACCGCGGATTCCTCTGGCCTAATTCCCATCCTACAACTTCCCATTTGGTGAGCTGAACATATCTGACCTGACAAATCCTTCAACGGCTTCGAACTCTCTTCTCTCACAAACCGTTCAATCTCTAACGTACTCGCTGTTCTAACATTCAAACTCCTACCTTCTGAATGATGCGTCCCAATCTCCTCAGCTCCGGCTGCGGCCAGAATCTTCAAGACTCTATCAAGACCACTCTTTAGACTCTCTTCGTCTTCATCGTTTAAGTTGTAGTCAATGTAGCTCTTGGAATTTATTGTTCCGGTTCCTTTATCTCTCAGAAGAGCAAAAATGTGTGCGGTTCTTGAAAATTTGAGCATTCGGGTTTTGAAATCCTTGCTTGATGTCCAAGGAATGATCCCTGAGAACATTCCTGGATGTAGAGCAGGTGTCTGGATAACCATTTCACCATAAGAACTATGCGTTTCTGCATTTACAACGCTAGACATCGCGGTCATTATTCCTCCCTCGTAGCTCTTTTTCTTCTTTTCCGGCCATTTATCTTCATCTGGAAACCATCCCCAAGCCATAACAACCGGGTGTAGACAAAGGTTTCTCCCAATGTTACCATTCCTCAAACCGCTCCGTTTCAACAGATGCGGCGTTCTAAGCGCACCGCAAGCCACTACCGTCGTTTTAGACTCTACCACATAAATCTCTTCCCCATATGCAAACGCAACTCCAGTCGCCTTCTTCTTCTTCCCCCTTCCACAGTCGTACAAGACTTCCATCGCTTCACAACCTGGAAGGATTAAACCGTTACCAGATTCCACCAAATCTACAAGCCATGTCTCTGAAGTCCCTTGCTTTTGACCTTTCTTGCATCCCAAGCAGCAAAACCCACAATAATGATCGGATGCAGCATTCCTCGGAATATTCTTTACTGGTAACCCTAACTCTTCACAACCCTTTCTCAATATCTCATTATTAAACCCTTCTTCTACAAATCCGCATTGAACACCCATTCTCTCACAGACAACATCCATTGCCTCTCGATACAAATCACTTCCGAACATTTCGAGTTTTGACTTTTCTGCCCATTCCTTAATCACATGTTCCGGTGTCTTGATCGAGGCGGACCAATTGATTGTCGAACCACCTCCGACCGTGGACCCCGCAAGAATCACTACGTTTGTGTCAGACGTCGCTAATAACCCACCGGATAAATACATATCATCCATTGCTTGCCCTTCAAGTAAAGAAAGTTTGCTTCTTGCATAGTAAGTCCCTGACTCCACCACCAATACTTTATAACCCGCCTTGGCTAAAACTCCAGCCACTACTCCTCCACCGGATCCGGACCCAACCACCACAGCATCACACCGGATTGTCATCACCAGGTCAGAGATAGATGATCCGTTTGTGTTCCTCTTTTGAGTTGAAACTGTGAATCCATGACCGGTTAACTTCTTTGCCACGGCTTCTCTAGGGCTTTGTAGATCGATGATGCCATTGTAAAGTGGTCCAAAGATCTCCTCAGGTTTCTTCTGCATCTTCTCATTTAGTTCTACTTCATGATCACTATGATCAGAGCTGGGTCCATCGTAACCTATTGCTTTCCACGCCAAGTTCCTTCCGTTTTCATCAACCTGAATTTTATTAAATCATTAGAAATTTTATTATTTTTAGTAGTTATATGGTATATCAAGTTGAAAAGTTTTAAATTGCAATCCCTTAAAAAAAAAAAAAAAAGTGACAAATTTCATGTTTCCCTGATTCCCTCCCGGATTTTCATTGGCTAACGAGTTTCTTTGAAGAGGAATTTTCAACAGGTCCACCAGACCTAAATTTTTGGGCCATAAAGACCCCATTACCATATTTGGTCTAAGAAGATATTTTGCATTTTGGACTCAAAATTTCAGAATCACTAGTACTATATATATTCAAAGTCATTACCAACTCACTCATGTCCTTGACTTCATGGTTAAATTCTTCTATGTAAAACTAGTTTTATATTTTAATTTACTCATACTAGTTAAAGTGAATAAAATGTAAATCTTAAATAAATTGATAAGTTTAATTAGTAGACTACGGTTAAAAAATGTTGACAAAAGAAAATAGACTAAGGTTAAACTTAATATTGCAAATAAATGTGTGAAAATCGTAAAACATAAAACTTAAAAGGAACATAATAAGTACGTACATATATGAAAAGTAATAAGAAACTGAAATGAGTAACAAAGGTTTAGAGTTTAATTTACCTGAGTGAAGAAGACAAAGGCAGTGATAAGTTTGATGGACCTAAAGAACATTCTAAGGAGTGAGAAATAGCTTGAAGACCAATTCAGCAATATCTCTTCTCTCTGTTTCTCCGGAAGCCGGCAGAATCTCCGGAAGTAAGGAAACTGGCCGGTGAAACTTCTCCGACCACACAAGATTAGAGTTCCGATCCAAGTAGAGAGTAACCACAATCCAGCTCTTAGTATCCACTTCTTTGGGTGGTGAAGTCTCTCACTCATCAACCTCGCCGCCTGTTATTACGATTTTATGATACAATAACAAACGGTTAATTAGGGTTAACGGTTAAATAATAATCAAAAGTAATGAAAATAGTTTTTAAGAAAAATATTCGTTCTATTTAACTTTAACCTAGAAATTTTCATAGCTGGTATATCTAGCCTAAAGGTTTTTATATTGGTATTACAGTTGTTTGAAACAAATGAACCCCAAATGTTTTGGTTTGCCAACCAGACCATATGCGGCCAAACCATGATTATGGTTAAGCAGTCGTCGCTAATTTGTTATCCCTAAAATTGACTAATATCTAATCGTTCTTTGAAACTTTTAATAGTGCATATCAATTAATAAAAATGTATCTCCACTAGAATATGACCCGCGGTACACCGCGGGTTAATTATTTGATTTTTTTATTTTTATAAATTGATGAATTTATTGTGTATAATATTTTTTGTTGTATACCGCGGGTCACATGCGTTGTATCTAAAATAAAAAATTTTAAGTTGTATTTGTTTTGTTTAGTGTTTAAGATTGTATAATTGTATTTTGATTTGTTATTTATAGGATTTCACCTGTGGTATATTGTCTCGTATTAATATTGACCCAAACCCGTCCAACCATAAAATCTAAAATGAAATTAAACATCATTTTGTTATTTTTTTAATAACACTTTTATTTAAATGTCATATAATTCGAGTTAATTTGAAATTTGCTTTCAAATAGTTTCCATGTATATTTTTAAATTAGTGTGTGTTTTTGGACCAACCCGTAAAAACAATTTATAATTGTATCTTAAAATACTAATTAGGATTTCACCCGTGATATACTGTCCCATTTTAGATAATTGTAAAAATTAAAGAAAGATCCGAATGACTCAATTTCGGGTCTGAATAAAACAACGACATGATTAAATGCTCAATTTGTTCTTAAAAATGTTAATATAGATTACACACATATTTTTATTCATCGATTGAGTAATATATGTCCGTTTTAAAAAATTTGAATTGTAACATATGCAGAAAAAAAAAAAACTAAAATTTACTAACTATTTATATATTTTATAATAATTTAAAATAATATAAATATAAGATCAAATAAAAGTGAAATAAGAATCATATATTTATGTTTAAATTAGGTAGAGAGGTTTTAGGAAATTAGTGCAAATTTGTTATATTAGCATTAAATCATCATATTTGATTTCTTTATCTATAAAAATCGTTGAGAATATACCATAAATAAAGCGTTTAAATATAGTAATTAGTTGAGAAAGTATATATATTTTAGATTTTATTAATTATTTTCGTTTTTTAATTTTGCCAAAATTTAAGGAAAGATCCGATTGAAGATTTCCGGATCAAAATTAAACAAATTTGACCCGATTTGGGTACCCAAAAACTGCTGCAAAAATGTATAGTAGATGTTGACAAAAGTCAAGACCAATTAATTTACACCTACACGATGTAGTAAACAAGATATGTAAGTTTCAATCTATTTTTACCCTTTTTTTTTTTGCAAATGGAGTTATGACACGAAAAAGGAACAATTGAATTGGTCCTCGGAGTAATATTAATACCATATTTATAATAATAGTTATATGGAACGAATAAATAGTAGCCAAAAGAAAGGAATATTAACAAATTTATTTTTAACAATTACTTGAGATGGCATCAATTGGCATGCGTGACGATGAAATTTAGGTGTACTTGAAATCTGTCGGCTCTATATATCACTGAAAGTACTGATTTTTTGTTGTCATCTAAAGTACCGTTTCTCTTTTTAGGCTTTTAGCGATGAAAAGTACTGATTCACATGCATGCAATGCAATTTTCTTAAATGTGTTCATCCAACAAATTATATATATAAATATCTAATTGCTAAATAAATTAATGTAATTTAAATGTAGATAGTTTAACCTGTAAAAGCTGTTGTTTTAATGTTGTAGAAGTCGAAAATGAATCACCTTTGAGAAAAAAGGTTTTACGTTTTGTGAAACAACTACAAATTTCTTTCAAAAAATGATCCTGATGAATCAAGAAAGATTACAAACCAAAAACATGTAACTTTATAAATTATGTCCATAAATCATTCATTTAGCAAAAAAAAAAAAAAACAACTGTACAACTAATGGATTGTTATTTAAAACATAAGGGAAATGAAAAACAAATTAAGTTCATTGGTAAGTAAATATCTAGCAAACGTATGGATCCAAATTAATATAATTTTAAATCATCCTAAACGATTTAAAATATTTTGTTTGTAAAAAGAGTTAGCTATAAATCTATACAAAATCCATGTATGTAACATCTAGTTTTTTTGTATGCTTTTTGACAAAACCATGTAACATATATAAATGGGGAAGCATATATATATGTCTTATATGTTATAAGTTTTTTTTTTTTTTTTTTTGTTAAATCTTATATGTTATAAGTTATAACTTATATGTGCATGCATGTGTGTATAAATTAGTATATTTGTGGTATATATGTAAATCTCTTTATATGTGAATGCATGTTTGTATATACAACACTTACGCGGTCAGGAGTTCCGGTCTGAGAAGCGGAGGCGGAAAAATATCCAGCGACGCAATCATCCACGTGTCCTACTCCAGAGCCGTCGATGGAGGATATGAAGGTATCGCAGATCGCAACTAGAGATTCCATCTCACGTGGTGTCAGTGAGTTTGCATAAAACGGCTTCGTTTTATCTCTCTGCCGGAGGTCTCCAGTTTCGACGTCTAATTTGGCCGCCGACGTCGTATCTTTCTCAAGGCAGCTTTTGTTTTGATTCTCCATTTATTCAATATTTTAAGTTGTGGCTAGTAAAGTGTATGTGGTGTTTATTTATATAGAGACCAAAGGATTAAATACAAACATATATCTATATATCTATATGAATTGATACATGAACCATATCTAATTGTTGGGTACCAGCAAGGAAAATTTTGATACCAGCAAGTACACAGGTTTGATCCGAATTATGTTTTCAAATTTTTATTATAATTCATAAGATTATATGTTTATTTTTTTTTTTTTTTTTGTGATCTATTTTTATAGAAAACATGGATATCATTCTTAAAAAACACTAGGCAAATATGTTTACTTTAGTCAAACTTTCTGAAATATAGTCCAGAATGAAATAATATCTTACATTTATGTTACAGTTTTAAATTGCATATTCTGAATCAGGTATAGATATATTATAAAAAGAAAATATAAATTCACTCTTACGAATATTTGTTTACGAATTCGTACATATACGTATGTATCCTAAATCCAAAAAACAAAAACAGAAAAAAAATATCAGAGGATGGGTATTAGACTATTTAGGTGGAGTCTAACAATCAACAATGGGTATTAGGTGGAGCTTAATATTTCAGAAAATTTACTCTTTCAATTCCTACATCATATGTATGTGTGAATATAATTTACATTGACTTTTTCAGAGTTTTTTATAAAAGTATTAAATTCTTTACACACCCACATTACTTGTAGTTGTATATAATAATAGATAATTTACAGAATCACGACTAAGTAGTTCCAACTACGTAAAGATTTGTGTTGCAAGTGAATACGAACGAAGTCATCGTGACGTGATTTATATAATAACTTACATATATGGTCTGGGAATTCATTTTAGCATACGGATTCACCAAGTAATGTACATTCGTTGAGATATCAAAGGGGTATAAACTTTGGCACTTTGCTCTTTGCAACAAATCTATAAAATTACATAACGCAAATGAAATTTATTAATACTAGTTCATTACTCAGTCTATCTATAATAAACTAGCGATTTATGAACCAAAAACGTTGTTTTATAGTAGTATTCGAATTTAAATGATCTATTCTGTATTATTATGGTTTAGACATGAAACTCATTTTAAATAAAACTAGTACTCCTTCCGTTCCTAAAAGTTTGATGTTCTAGTGTTTTAGGTTTGTTCCACAAAGATTGATTTTCTAGATTTTTTCTTTATTTTTAATTAATTGATATTAATAAATCGTAGATTTCAAGACGTAATGATTAACTGTTTTAGACTACTATTGGTTCATAGTTTATTAAAAATGTTTAATAAAAATAAATAATTAAACAATGATTGTTTCTTAAAATATGTGAAATCTCTAGAAAATCAATCTTTTAGGAACGGAGGGAGTAATTAATAAGCAAAATACCGTTTTATCTGGAAATTGGTAATAATTAAATTAAAATGAAACAAGACAAAGATGCTAAAACATTTTAGTTTGATAATTAACTAAAGAAAATGTCTACAACATTTCGAGACTTCGTTGGCAGAGGCTGATTCAGACATGAGTGAGTGAATGTCTACAGATATGGGAACTCAAAATAACAAAAGGAATGATAAAATCATAATAGCGAATGATTAATATAACACAAATCAGGTAATAATGTAAGAAAAATTGACAATGTTCATTAATATGATAGAATCAAACAAAGTACAGAGAGATCATGAAAGGACCCAAGGAGTGAGTGATCAGGGTATCAAACTGGACCCTTTGAGAAGAAAAGAAAAAAAAAAAAAACAAAAGAATTGAATGTAGAAGACAGTACAGTTAACAATACCTGTCCTCCATAATTATATCATTCATTAAGTTTCTGATTCTCCTCCAGATTTAGAGTTTTATCTTCTCCTTTTTTTATGTAAATTATAGGTGCATTGATATCATCGATTGTCCAATGCAAGTTGATGATGTGGTAGATGGAATTTAATAAAAATTTATGATCTCCTATTTTTGAACGTGCTAAATGTTTGTTATTTTTTAGAAGTGTGTATATTTATTGCGTATAGATTAAACTATTTTGAGTTTGTTTGGGAATGGTTACGAGTACTCATCTTGATCGGTTCAGAGTTCTTATATATATATATATATATATATATATATATATGTAGTTTGGGGAAAGATATACCCCATGGTGGGTGCGATGGTTGTCGAAAACTTTGAATTCAGATATTCATTATTTCATATCTAATCAGAAAATGCATTCTTATCATATAATACCCACTTCAATTCTTATGAGTGTTTATTAAAGATGCTTACAAATTTAATGTGTTGTCGCCTGTATGAAATATGAATAAATCATAAAAGACACAAATTTTGAATACATATTTTAATTTATTAATGTTATTTAAAAATATGATTGTCGGTAGACAAATTTCAAATTTTGAACACAGAAAAGTTCTCTTTGTAACACATAAAAAAAGTTATATGAATAGTTAAAAAGAGAAAAAAAGAAGTAACGGTGGAGATTGGTGTTTGATTTCTTCTACGACTACCATCGGGGTTTTAGACTTTTAGTTGATACTTATTTGGACTTCCAAAAACAGTGTCATATATAGATTTGTGTTGAACATTTGATTTCTTATGCTTTAATTAGAATACCCATTAAAAAGAAGAAAGTAGCCGTACAACAAGCTAAAAATAACGTTTTTGGTATCGCTAGTTTCAGTGATGAAAATTTTACCAATCAAACCCATAGGCCATAAGAAGAAAGTAGCCGGGATTTTTTTTTTTTTTTTGCAACATCCAAAGTCTTTGCATAATGATTTGAGTAAGCTGCCCATAAATCTAATACCCCAATCATTCAAGTAGGGATCAAGGACGAAGTGCATACATTTTGATTCTTCTAAAATGTCTTATCCGTTTCCACTCCTAGTTAACTAAGAACTTTTATAATAAAAAAAAACTCAAAGTCAGAGAAAAACAATATATGAACAAAAGAGAAAGTGAAACTTTGCTAAAACATTATACACATACACAACATACAAAGTTTATTTTGTTTTGGGACAAAACCATTAGCTCAATGTGACCCATTGAGCCTAGAGAGCAAGAAGAGACAAGCAGAAGAAAAAAAGATAGAAACAGAGATACATAGCAAATCCGTGACAGAAGTTATGACTATTTTCTTGCTCTTGTCAAACAAACCAATCAATAGTAGCATCACTATTACATGTCCCAACTTCGTTTTCAGCTGGCTTACCGATTTCACCTCTAACCATTGAGGTCGCTCCTGAAGCACAAACAAACCGTTGGAGAAGTCTTAGTCTTAGTATGAACCAAAAATGAGATCTTGATGAATTATATAGGTGGAGAAGGGTTAAAAAAAGGAGAAACCTTTAAAGTGAACATGCCAAAGAGGCTCGACCTATTGGAAACAATATCGTGTGAGCGCGACTCTGAAGTGTCGAGATTGCTAATGAACAACTCGTAAAGTCCCAGTCCAAATACCAACATCACAGTTCCTAGGAGATATATATCTACAAAATATTCATGTACATCATCAGCATCACATCAATAAAATTGTGGGCAAACAATGTTCTTAATCTGAAACATAGATAAACTCTCTCACCTATGGCCTCAACCAAAAGGAATATCACCTTCCCACGATTCACCGAATACTGCAAAAACGAGTCTACAACATACATACATCCCTGCACCGATGAAATTGTTAAAGAAACAGCAAAAATAGTATAAATGGGTTTCTTCTACGAGTTGCAAATAGAAAGTTTATTCTACACTCAGAAGAATCAAAACATTAGTGACATTATCTGCTGCTATTACAAAACAAAAACTAGCTTATGCATATTCAACACTGTTTCATCTAATTGTAGTTTAAACCAGACAGAGTAAGGAGATAATCTGGAGTGGCTTTACCTTGATGAAACAGAGAACCGATCCGAGCAAAGATCCTAATGTTCCAAGAAACGTCATAAATCGACAACTATAAATGACCTGAAAAGTTTCACGAAATTGTTTTAGTACGTTTCTCTGATTCGTTTCTTAAACCTTAAATAAAAAACCCTAAAAATCTCAGCTTTAAGCTATGAACAGAACCATCCAAATCCCTAAAAAAAGAACTCAGCTTTACCAAGATTTTGTATCGATTATCAGAAATCTGAAATCAACCCAATTACCTTCTCAATCCCCTCTTCTAAAACTTCAAATCTATTAGCAGAATTCGATGTTACAGCCACAGACGTAGACGCAGACGCAGAGCGCGAAGAGAGCAATCTTCCCGGAGACCTATAACTCCAACGCCAAGCAGAGCTCGTAACCGTCTTCGTTGTCCTCAATGGTAATTTCAAGCCGCGAGAGCTTGATATAACAAGCCTCTTATCGATTGGTACAAAATCTCGAAACCCGTTGAAGATCAATCCCGAAGACGATGGTGCGGCGATAGCATTTGCGTTAATGGTCCGGCACGGCATCGTCATGGCTGCTTTGAGTCGTGGTGGAGTCAACCAGGTGTGGAACTCGGGGGAGGTAAAAAAAAAAGAGAGTGAGAAGGAGACACGTGTCAGGAGATTGTGATTGCGCCGCCGTGGTGGAGTTGTACGGTCTCTTAGAGATCCACTTGGACGGTAATAATGGACATTTTAATCACGCGGGTTTTTTCAACAAATATCTCTTTTAAACAATCTAAACGCAGACGTGGTTTTGGACAAACGCAATCACAGACAAAAAAAAGAGCCACTTGAACATAACCATCGTCCATCGATCGAAATTATCTCGAGATTGAGAGAAATTTTGGTATTTAAATTGTTTCACAAAAAAGCTGATGCGTATAGTTTTAGGCTTTTAGCTCTTGCAAATCTATGTAGATCAGTTTGATATGTGACAATCACAAATCTAGTTCTATTACTTACAACGTTAGTCTATCAGAAATCATTACTTTTTTTGCTTGTGTATGGTTCGATTCAATATTTTGCGTCACATGAATGCATATGGAACCACTCAATCTTACCTTTTTTCTTTGTACTAATGTTCTTGCCTTCTGCCTTCAACATCCCATTACTTATGTTGGATGTTTATTTATTTTTTTGCATATGTTCTTGCCTTAATGTTTGCGATATTCACGGTCACGGAACTTTCTTTTTTTGTAACATCTGCTCACGGAACTTCGTTATATAAAATTCTCAGATGCAAAATATATTATTCAATGTTATTTTGACATTATGGAAAAGAATTTGGAATTTGTAATAATGCTGCATAGTCAAAAGTGTAGCAGAAAATCATGTAATGAGAATTGTCAATTTCAAGATGGAGAAAGAAAACTGTCGGCGCCGTATGTGACTGCAAAATACCATAATACATTCACATTCATTACATTGGTCTAAAAGCTATACAAACGAAATAGACTGAGCACATTTGTCTATTATCACAGAAATAGAATCATATTCTTACTTTTATATTTTTAATCAAGAAGAATTTCATAGTCCAAAATTTGGTGACCATTATTGTTCACGAATATAATAAAAATCTTCTGAATATCCCTTGTTCCAAACTTTTCCGAATATTCCGATATATAAAGAGCAGTAGAGGTTATTCATTTTGATCAAAATATGGGACTGTAATACTTTATTCAATAATGGAGCATTTCAGGTATAAAGTAGTTAATTTTATTATTCTTTTTCGCCATTTTCTTATCTACTATTTATTTCTTTAATGTGTGTGTTTTTTTTTATTTGGTCAAGATTTCTTTTCGTCAATGTTAAGGCGCTCTTTTACAAGTTACAACTTTCTATCTATAGTACTACATTAAGAACAAATACAGATACTACCATACTTAATTGTAAGAATCTAATTATCAAAAGTTGGTCATTTCACGTAATTTATGCTATAAATAAGTTTGCAAATATATGACATGTTTAGATTTCAAAAGAAATCCTCCCAAAAAAAAAGATTAATGATTTACATGTTTCTCATAATTAGATGTTGGTTCTAGTCTTCTAGATGGAAAACTATCATATGTTAGTATATCAATTGTAATAAAAACATTGTTTGCTATATTATGGATTAAATTGATTTACATGTCAGCTAAATAGTGTAATAGAAAAGTAGTCGAGTCATTGAATAACGGAAAAAAAACTGAATTCAATAAAATCTCGTGGAATAATCAAAAAATGCTTAAAAGGTATATTTAAATGATTAATGAAGTGTTTTATATTTTTTGCACGTTTGTAATTATATACACGAAATTTTTTTAAAAACGTAAAAATACGAAAAATAGATGAATATTCTGATTAAAAAAACAACAAAAACGTGAAAATGATATACTACTATTTATAATCTATATATATATATATATATATCACAATTTTTTTTACCATAAATGAGAACGAAACTTTACGGAATTAGATATAAAAAAAGATACACTCATGCATCATAAACTTATACTCTCTCCGTTTCACAAAGAGTATCGTTTTAAAGTTTTAATCTCGTTTCACAAAGAGTGTCGTTTTGTGTTTTCAATGCAGGTTTAATTCTCTTTTTTGTCCATACTATTTTAGCTTATTAATTAGAGAGAAAGCATTATTTAGTGTATTAATAAGGAGTAGAAATAAAATTTGTTTATTTTTCTTAATTTATGTGAAAAATAGTAGAATGACACTCTTTGTGAAACAGAATGAATATGATTTAGTTATATATCATGCAACGTCATAAGCTAACATATGTTATACGGAATACAATGAAACTGGTAACTTTTATCATAGGAATAACATTCGTTCTAACTAGGAAATTTATTATGTGATGCAACGGAATACAATGAAACTGGTAACTTTTATCATAGGAATAACATTCGTTCTAACTAGGAAATTTATTATGTGATGCAACGGAATCATCAATTCTACCTAAGTGTATCTCGTTACACAAAATGGCCCATAAACAACTTTGAAACTCCTCTTCCCTTTTCGATCTAATCGACAGCAAAGCTGATCTACTGTGAATTAAGACATCAACCTCAGAATTACGCAGTACCCAAATTATACCACAAGTGCTTTTATCTCTATTTCCAGTCCGAAGTCACATTGCATTTTAACCAAGGCTTCGCCGGAAGACGCTATTTGTTGTGCTTGTCATAAACCTGACATGATCAGTCAAAATTTCAACATACTCCAATTCTTGAGCATGAAACTATATACTTTGGAATCTTCCTTGATCTTCAGCAGAATGTCATTAATTAATAGTGAAAGCCAAACTTTTAAAGAAGAGGTTATTTTTGTTCTTCCACAACGACCAAACATCCAGGGAGAGCATCTTTGCAGCACAAGCGATACCATATTATTCTTGCACATTAACAAGACATGATGCATATTTTAAAATATAGACCGTGGATCAAAACTATCTTCCGGTAAAGGGAGAACCTGATAAAATTCAATTCTGTCTTGCCAAGATACAAGTGAAAAGGGACATGGTTGATAGATTCACCTTCTTTTCTTTTTTTTTAAGTTGATAGATTCACCTTCTAACCCACAAATTTTCACAATAACCCATTTTTAGAAGAAAATCTAAATAATTAAATTATTAACAACCAGGATAACTTTTAGATTAGAACGTCAAAAAAGTGGGAGACGCAGAAGAAGTCCACGTGACAAAAGTACAGATCACGCTCACGTGGTTTACGAGCGTAAGTAAATGGCTTTTTCCGTAATTTCACCAAAAGAGAGAAAAAAAAAATCTAATCTTAAGGTCGGAGAATTCATCTTCTATCATCCAACAGTGTGAAAGCGAAGATCTCTTCTAAGAGAATACGTGTCGGAAAATGAGTGGTCTTAACCTGTATTAAATACCCTACAGCTGAGGCTAAGGTTGTCTCTGCTTGATAGGGTTCCTCCTTATTACATCATAAACCATTCTCTGCCTCATTTCCCCATTACAAAACCTAAATCTCCTTCTCTCTTCTCTCTTCTTCTAAAGAGAGAGAGAGAGATTATGATATAAGAGTCTCACCGTCGGGCTCGGATTCGCTTGGTGCAGGTCGGGAACCAATTCGGCTGACACAGCCTCGTGACTTTAAAACCTTTATTGGTTTGTGAGCAGGGATTGGATCCCGCCTTGCATCAACTGAATCGGATCCCCGAGGTGTAAGAAAACTCGTGAATCCAATTAGATCTAGAAGAAATCTACTCTTCTCCTTCTTTATCTTCGTTTTCTTATGATTTTTTATTTTTGATCTAACCTAGAAAAAGGTTTTATATCTTTGAATCTTAAATTGTTTGGTTTGAGATATTTGATATTGATTTTACCCTGTTTTTGTATATTGAATCTTCTCAATCTCTGTTTTTTTTTGCCCAAATGTTGAATCTTTGATTTAGTTTTGATTTTATAGACCATTGATATTACATATGTTTTGAAAAGTTAGAAGTTGTTTGATGTTTGAGGACTTTTGAATTTAAGATCTAGGGGTTGATATGTTAGAGATTGTTGATGTGATTAGTTCTAGATTCGTACAATCTTATGAAGATTTGATTTAAAGAGAAGAGATGATGATTGGTTTTATTGTGGATAGTTTCGACGATGAGATTCAAAGTTTGACGATTTTAATTCGTCGTACAAAAGGTAACAGTCAAATCTCAGTGACCTAATTTTGTTTTGTTGGGTTTTGTGAAGCAATCTATTTCCCGGTTTATACCGATTTTGCTCTTTACACTTATGTATGATTTTGATAATTGTGAAATTACGAATTAACAATTCACTGTGTGCGACTGTTGTAGATGACAATGATCATGTTAGTTATGCAAAGAGATGAAGTGAGGAATTATTGGAGGCATGTGAAGTGAAGATATTTTTTTTTGTTGAATGTTCAATTTCTAAAAATCTATTTTTCCATTTTTGGATATGTAATGTTCAGAATTGTTAAAGATAAAAAATGGTGTGGAAGTAAAGAAACAGAACCAATTCGATTAGTACCGTTAGTGCAGAATAAATGCAAGTAATGATGGTACTCATGGTAGTGGAAAACAAACGTAACAAAACAACAAAGTTTAAATGTAACTTATAAAGTTAGTTGGTTGTTTGGTGATTATATATTTAATACCTAAATTGGTTGGTTGTTTCGGAATTCAGACTATACATTTCATATTGCAGATTAATGTTTTAGCTTTGTTATTGTCTTGTACTACCTTTTGTTTCTTTTACAGACCTTTTAGTTGGAATCTCTATTATATAAATATGTATGTATTTGTAAGTATAGTATCAGAAAAAGTTAAAGATTATGTGCCCAAGTCTAATGATAGTTGGATTTGAGCGTTTTCGTCAAAAAGTTTTCAGTTTCGTCAATGGCAGGTCCCTTATTTTCAGCTGCTCCTCTCCAGTCTTTTTTTAATGTATTTTTAAACACTATTATAATACTAACATAAGTAGATCAATTGTGCAAGATCTTATGATAGTTGTTGGTTTGATCTCTTTTGATTTCGGCTTTAAATTTTCTGCTTTGCAATTTTATTGTTTTTTAATTCCAATGTAGTTTATGGAGAATTTACTTTTTTCTCCGGCTTATGTCTCCGGAGATTTTTTGTTTTTCGTCGGTTTAACTTCCTTCCTTTGGACGTTTGGTTTCATGTAAAGTTTCATCTCAAGTTTTAACAAAAATTTATAGATGAAAAAAAAACATCTTACGATAGTTGTTATTGCAAAATATTTTCCTCTCATAGGGATGAATGTTATATCATTTGTTCACGTGTTTTTGTTCACGTGTTCACGATGTGAAAACGTAGTTCCGTTATTTTTTATCATTGAAATATTCATCAAATTTTCACGTTTTTCACGTTTTGCAAATAATAATCTTGCTATATATTACTAGCGTGTTAAAAGTATAAATAGAAAAATCAAAACGTGATTAATCTACTAAAATTAGCTTTTCGAGGTTATCCAAAAAAGAAAAAAAATGTTTTCTAGCGATTAATAATTATTCTACAAAAACTTTCTTCAGTTCATTTCGTTCCGCTAATAATTGTTCAGTCCTCTCGTTATTCCGTTATTTTTCTGACATACCACTATAAACTTTTTTCATCTAATTATTTGAGATATGTTAAGCATGCTAATTTTTGTCACAGATGTTTGAAATGAATAGATTGAATCAACTAAAAATCAATAGAAACAATAACAACAAAATATCATTCCTTTTCTATTTCTTAAAACAAATCCAAACCAATTCAAAACACACCCTAGTGTAGTGAGTAGTGGCCGATGCAAAATTATTAAGTTTGGAATTATTATGCTCCGTTAAGAGGCAGTTTTCTAAAATACGCTCTAGGCGGCCGTATATACGGTAGTTATACGCTATACGGCAGACTACTGTACTGTTTTTAAGCTATGCGTTTAACAAATACGGTTGGATTCAATACGACCACTTATACGGTGCTATACGGCTCAATACGGCCATTTATACGGTGCTGCTTATCTAAATGCGGTTGTCATTGTGTTTTCATTTTTTTGAGAGTTGGAGTTTAGCGTGAGACTCTTTTTATTTTTTTTTACAACTATTTTTTTTATGATATTATATATATTTACAATATATTTATATTATATATATATATTTTATAAAAATATATTTACCGTATATACTCCGCATATACAGTTAGGCGCTATACGGTGATCCACCGCCCGACTACCGCCTAACGTACTTTAGAACTCTTATTAAGAGGTAAAGTATAGATGATGAGCAAAATGTTGGAAATTTTAGAAACAAAAAAACAAGAAAGCATCATGTGATTCAAACTTTGTTCTTGTCAGAGTCTCTGAAATTTCACTTTCAAGCACAAACCGAACCTCCATGTTCTGTACAGAAGAAACTTATGGTTACAAGTCAGGGCATCTAATCTTGTTTCTTCTTTTTTGGATTTTTCTCTTTCTTATTTTTGGCAAAAAAAATATATTATTTAACTTAAATATTTCTAAAAAGAAAACATAGGTTTAAAGTTTAAACTTTCTTACAAGGTATATATGATTAGTCTGGATATTAATTGAAGTTCAAACAAAAAGAAATTTCTATTAAAAAGTTCAAACAATAATTTCTTCATTCTCTGATTCACATTTCGTCCTTGACCATATCAGCCAGAAGAAATAAGATAGAGAGAGATCTCGCTACTTCAGCTGATCATATTGACTGCATTTTTTTGGCTTTTTAATCTTCTGTATGCTTCTCTAAGATGGTTTACTTATGGTCTGATTTAGGTTCTTGATCATCAATCTCTTGTCTAATCATATTGATGATAATCTGTTCTCACACAACATAATGGTTCTGAAAGGGACTCTCAGAATGTTAATTGCAGGGTGTGTCCACTATGTCGTCTAGGCGACGACATTTGCAAACATGATCCCCACTACCTGAAACAACACTGATGACTCTGACATGAAGTTTGAAGCTTTCTGATATCTAAATCCAACAAGCTTTCAGGACTGGAACTGAATCAAAACGAGTGTATATGCTTGGGAAGAGTTGTTCACAGGCTTGTTCCAATTGATTTCTGACTTTTCTAGTTCTAATTTCTAAAAGATGAGATGAGATGAAAAAACAGTTATCGAAACTCAAAGATTCTTCACAAAACATAATCAAAGCTGGTTACATTGATACCAGAGAATAACGTAGATACTCGTGATTTCGCAAATGATGAAGCTAGAAGTTCTTTCGACTCAGCTGCGACACAAACTGATCAGCTGCAGCCACAGCTTGAGAAGCTGATCCAATTGATCCATCATATCTGCAAGAAGAAATCATAACCATCTTAATTTTGGACTGAAAATGTATAATGAAGATATGCAATTGAGCAGAGAGTGCAGTGCACTCACAGAGCAACCAAGACGTAAACCGCAGTCTGCATAACAATAGCTCCTTCACCAGCAGGCTGGGAACTGTTTAAACACCGAGCAGCGAACCAATTCTCATGAATTGATGTTATTATGTCTGCAGATTCCAAGTCCTATTATTAAACCTCAAATACTCTCCAAGCAAAAGATCAAAAGCAAACAAACTTTTACATTGATTGGATCCAAGAACAAAGGTCTCAGTAGGAAGATTGCCACGTCTCATGAAATCGATGAATGGCTTTAGATCAACTGGATAGAGATCAATCCCTTCATGTTCAGCTCTGCAAAGAACTCAAGATTATGTGAATTCTGATTAAAGCCAGAAAAAAAGACTAAATCGAAATCTAAATCATATATACAAGAATACATCAAAGTTTCGATCTTTCACTGCAGATAACAATCTAAAGAACAACCTTTAAGCAGAAACAGAGAGAGTAGATTTTGAACGTGATGAATTAGCTTACATTGTTGATAAGAGACGAGAAGGTCCTGTAGGATCATAGTTAATCAAAATAGCAGCCTTCAATGGATTGCCTGCACAAAATTCAAAACTAAAATCACCAAAAGGAAGATTCTTTCTGGGTTCTTCTTCTACTTTTCAAAATCTTACCCAAACTGCAAAACAAGAAGAAGAAGAAAACAAGAAGCCTAATCGAGAGAGAACTTACCTGAAGAGCCAACGTTACCCGAAGTAACCCATTTGTCCCAAGCTCTGTCCACAAACGCCGAATCCATCGATGCGTTTCGAAAATTTTAATAAAGCAATGATTTTTAGGGCTCTGCACTTTACTAAACAATTGAGAGAATCAGAGCACCAAGAGTTTCTATAGTACACAGTCTCTCTCTCACTCTCTCTCTAGGGATTCGTATAAATTTGAAAACTTTTCAGATAAACTCGATTAATACAAAAACTTAATCTTAATAAATCAAAGTAAAAAGATACTCTTTATTCAAATTGCAGTGATTATTGATCCGATTTGGAAAACGAATCCACAATGTTCGAGAGATCTTTTAATTGAAATTAAAAATTGAACATTAAGATGATTCTAGTCTTCAGTTGAAATTGCAGGACACGTAGGATTACAAGTCGGCGACGGACAGTCTATCTTCTGAAATGCACTCCGGCCATAAAACCAGTTTCCGACTGCTTTCGCAATTCTCTGCATAAACAAATCAAAATCAGAACTAAAATCGAATTGAAAAGATTTAAAAGTATTGGAAGATTGAATTACCGTATTAGCGACTTGGGGACCTTTGTCACCGGACCAAGAGGCGGCGCTTCCTCCTTGGCAATGAGCGTGACACGAGTCTAAGAACAATCCTCTCGACGGTGTACTGTGAACCGGTGATAATGCACGCATCATCTGATCTCTAAACCCTGAAATGTTTAAAACCAACCCCGGTTTATTCTAATTTATCACTAAACCAAATCACTTGTTTTCAATTTAAATCTTGATAAACCGAACTGATCATATCCAAAAAGCAAACCAAATTTCAGAACTAAAACCACCCAGTATAAACCGGGACAATCTAAATATACCAAAATCCGGTTAATTACCTTGGACGGTTTTGAGCTGAGCGGCACTACATTTCTTGAGATCAAGCTTACAATTCTTCCATTGTTTTCCCTTATCAACAGCAGTGGGAGCCAAAACGTTCTTGATCTGAAAAAAAATTCATCAAATTCGATAAATGTATCCGATTTGTGTATTTTTATAACGAAATGAATGTTTTTGTATATATCAAAAAATGTATATCATGTATGTATGTATCAGACCTGCCAGGAATCGAAGGCGGCGTTGATGACAAAGAGCGGTGTTCGCATGGAAGGAACCACATATTGCGGGAAGAAACACTGCGAAAAACGATCAGGGAAGTCGTTAGTATCAGTCCATAGATGGAAAAAAGTGTCAAGATCAACATGTTGGGATGTGTAGTTAAGTACGTACGAGTTCTGGTTTCATTTTTGAGGTGCAAGAAACAGGAAGACTCTTTGCAGATCCCTACAAAAAGATTTCAAGCAAGACTGGCTTTAAAATTATCATCATGACTTAAAAGAATTAACAATTGAGAGATATTAAATAAAGAGTTATACGTGAAGCGCGACGACTTTGCTGTAATACGATTCGATGTATGATCCTCCTGTGATATCTTTACTGTATCATAAATCCAATTCAGTGATAATAATCAGATGATTAATAGTTGACATCAAATAAAACCGGTTTGTTTTGGTTGTTATCAGTTT